CTTCTACTTTTAATTATATTGTCCAGAAAGACCTTGGGTCTAGATTGCATTTGGTGTTCAGTATTGCCAGTCACTAATCAGCTAAGTACCATAATCCTTCTTACAGGGCACATTCTTCCTTGACCTGAAACTATATACAGCCACACAGTAACAGCATTAAAGAATAACCTTTCCTTAACAGGCCTGGCACTAGAGACTTTTATAACTTCAGCCTTGAATGAGTGCTGCTTTATGTGTAACTTTTTAGTAATTGAGTTTTGAAATCAAATGATTGTAAGCAAGGAGTGACTCAGATCATCTGATTACGGATGGCTGTTATGGTTTTGCTAGGGCTGGAAGGATTACGTGAAAGCACTGCCTGGCACAATGTTGATGTATTTTCGTCAACATGATGCTTCATGCTCGACAGATGTGCATTGGTTGAACAAAAGGTAAAAAATGAAAAACATTACATATTAATCAAGATATGTAAAATTCATTTTATGTTTTGGTAAATATAATTTGGTTGTTTAAAGCTTTTTGTATTAACAGGAAGGATGGAAGCTATTTATTTCATGTATTTCAGGATCATATATTTCTGTTAAATCCTCAGTTTCACTATATTTGAACAGCTTTAATTTTAGAATTTATTTGCAATATTATGTTTGAATTCTTATCTATCATTGTGTAATTGTATTATTGAAGTATTATTTTCATTTATTTGGTAATTTATATACTTTAAAAAACGTTATGTTTCCGGATTATTGATTTTTTTCAAATATCAGTTATGAGATTTTATTTATAAAATGAAAAAAACTCATGCTAAGAAAGATTATGACTGAGAGACTTAAATATAATTAACATTTAATTGTAAGAGTATAAAATTTCAATTTGCCAAAATTACTAGTATTTAAATCTTTAATTTTACTTTCACTATTATTAACATTCTTAAAATTGAATATATCCTCAATTGCTGATTGAAAATATGTGAATACTAGAACTTATTTAATTTTCATTGTCCCTATAAATGTTTTCAAATGCGTACTTGCTTATATTTTCAGAGAGTTGATGATTATTTGATGATTATTTTTATCACCAAAAATACAGACAGTAGTATAAGTAGTATAGTTAACACAAAAATAAAATAATAAATTTGATTAATATAAAAATGGAAATATGGTATATTTCTATACAGTATGAAAACTTGAGACTCTCTTTGGAAAATTAAAAAAATTGACTTAAATTAGGACATACAAATTTCTTATTTGGTTTTCCTATCAGTCTGTATGAATTTTGAGCCATGAAAATTTTAGAGTAATTGGTAGAATTTCTTACTCACTTTATTATGAATAGATAGATAGTGTATTATAAACTAGAATATTTTGAAGTAAATTGAATCATTAGTCTCCATGGCAAGTTGTAACCAATGAATAAAAATACTACTCATTAAAGTAGATTAAGGATGTTTACAACGTGATTTTCTATTAACAAGTTTCTGTTAGGGCCACTATTATATGGCAAAACACAAAATAATTATTACAGTCTAGAATAAAGATAAGTAGTTAAACTGATAAAATATATACCATGGAAATATAAAGTGAATATAAATATGTATTGATAATACTATATTAAAAAATAGGAGTTAATAGAACCCATGGGGTAAAAAAATGAATATACTATGTAGAGTCACAAATACACTTTTTGTTTTAAGACATGCTTTGGGTTCTGTCTCTTAATTTCACAGTCTTTGAAGGACTGATTGTCACATTCTAGGTGAATTGTTCTATTAGTCATAGCTTATGGGTTAAAATACTGTAAAATGCTTTAATATTCTTTAGAGAAACATACAGATTCTTTTACTATTAAATGTTTTCTACCTGGTAACAATCAGGACTAAGGTTTGTTTATAAAGACTTGTATTAAAGACATAAATTAGGTATCACAGTACTTGAACTCGGATTTCCTTTAGTTCCTGAAAACACAGTAAATAATGTCTAAGAAATGTAGAAGTTTGAAAATTTTGATGGACAATGTTAGTGTAACTGGTAGCAGAGTTTTACTGCTTGCCAATGCTACAATGAAATTGAACTTGACTTCTAGCAGTTTTTAATACACCACAATGTACTATAATTTAAAATCTATTTTTAAGTAATTGTATCTAGTTTAAGTAACAGTGACAGTCATTCCAATGTTTAAATACTGTTCTGTTTTTACTTAAATCTCATGTTTAAACACTGTTCTGTTTTTACTTAAATCTCGGACAAATGAGCATGTGTACTATGATTCACATGCTTCTGGCATATTTCATAATCTCTAGAACAAAGTGATTCCTGCATTTAATATCAAATTTAATTTTCCCCAAATGTGATTTTTAAATAGTTCTTACATGGTTGCCAAATACTAATTAGTAAATCTTTCTTTTGGAACTAAATTCTGTAATAGGAAGAAACTATTCTTATTTTTCTATTTATAATAATCCTCATAAAAGACTCACTAAATTCACTTTATTCATATTCATTTAAAAATTTGTTATTTCCTCAAAAATATGAGTAGTTTCCTTCAATTTTTATAACTTACATTACACTGACTATAAGTTAAATATGTTGCTGCAATCCTAATGCTTTAACTTCATTTAGACAAATCAACTCCATTGTTATGGTATTATATTATAAAATCTTAGTCCCTAAAAGTTGGAGGAAGGTTTTAAGATTATTCGGCTTTTTAAGTAAAGGATATTTTATTTGTTTGTGGGTTCCTAGTCTATATTTAAGCATTTAGTTTTAATGCAGTGCATATTTGTCTAATTAATGTGTGAATTAAGTTCTACAATATTTTTATTTTAAATCATTTACTCCCCAAAATTAAAAGACTACATAGACTCAATAACTGGCTAATAACAAAAGTACTTCTAAGAAATGCAGATCCCCTTGCTCTAGTATTCTTTTTATAATATAGTTCTAGCACATAAGAGGTTTTTCCTTAGTTGTATAAGATTCATGACAAGAGGAAAAAGAATTGTATATTACATGTACATGTGTGTATATATAGTTTTATAGGTTAATAATATTGAATTTAATTGCCCTATTTTCATTATATTTTTAAAGTTTATCTTCTTAAATAATAATTATACATCTAAGAAACTGGTAATTATTAAGTTTATAGTTTTTTATAACACATAAAGCTAAGAAACATAATTACATTCTCAGTGTTTTATATGAACGTATAAGTTCATGAAAAAAATCACATCCATTTGCTGAATTATAAAATAATCAAAGGATAGACTAGTTCTTTTATTTAGTGTGTTTTTCCTTTTGTGGTTTCAGGTTAGAATCTACTTTGGTTTGGCTTGGGTGAGATTTGAAAGGATGAATAGATAACATGAGTCATTATTGTCAAGAAATACTTTTTAGGAGTCATATGGGTAGATGTGACTCTTAGGAAAGTCTTATTAATTGGCTACAATTAATTCAATGAGCAGTTGAGATCATTAATGGTAAATTCCAAAGACCCCTGGGCTTCATTCCTGCTATCTAATGTCCATTTTCAGGGCTTTGTATGCTTCCTTGTCACTGAACTCCCTAGCCTTCATTCTTCTAGTTCATTCAGTTGTCCAACTTCTGATTTCTATATGAAAACCCTTTTTGATGGAAAAATCTGCTTTTATAGCAAACTCTTATGGATAGTGTTTTGGTAGACTATTTCAACAATGAGGGATTGCTGATTCAGTAGCAACAGGGAGAAGTGAGAGGACAGTAATGAGTTTTCGGATCATGTCATTCCACTCTAACATTTTCTCTACTATTGCTCTTTTTTCATTCACCTCTCAAAAACAAGGCTAAGAAATTCATAACTAAGCTGTCAAATCTTGGACATTTTTAGCTTCCTACCTTTTTTTTATTTCTTGTTCCCATTCTGGCAAAATTCTCACAGCAGTTACTCTAAACCTTTTTTATCTGCTGGAGTATAATCCTATTGCTTTTTGTGGCTAGTGGTTGACATTATCTGAGTTTATGTTAGAGATGAGGACATTGCTAATGTTCTGTTGATAGATTATTTGTGATTGTAAGATCTGTAATGTTATATCAATATTAGAGATGCATATTGAGAACTTAAGTTAAAATTTATTACATTTTAACAACTTAACTTGTAAGTTACAATAATAACATAATAGCATATGACTTATAACTTGATTGTGTAAAGAAGTGGTTCATGGGGCTGGGAAGGTGTCTCAGTGGTAGAGTGCTTGCCTCACCCTGGGTTCTATTCGTCAGCACCACATAAGTAGAAAAATCTGGAAGTGGCTCTGTGGCTCAAGTGGTAGAGTGGCTAACCTTGAGCTGAAGAGCTGAAGGACAGTGCCCAGGTCTAGAGTTCAGGCCCCACAACCAACAGAAAAAAAAAAAAGTGGGTCAGATATAAAGAGAAGTGTCACCAAACCGGCCTTAATTTTAATGAAGATGGGATAAAAATTGCAATATGGGTAGGGCTTTTGTGATAAGTAATTATTGTGGTATTTATTTAAATTTAAATACTGCCAGATCAGTAAAAGGGATTGGAAACAAGATAAAGATTTAGTGAACCAGTATTAGCAGTAATATAGAGAGATGAGGAATGAAAGATGAGTCTAAGAAAGTACTCAGTTTTAGAGATAAGTCAATTAGGTGTTACTATGTTATTAGGTAACTTTCGTATCATGTTGGAAATAGAGAAAATGGACAGAAATCTTTATTTAAGTTACTAACACTTAGATTGAAGTATAGTAGGCAAAGATATTAGAATAAAAACTTTATAGCAGCAGAATATGATATTGATCATTTAATTTGAAGTTTAAGTATATCCAACGTATTAGTGAAATCTCAGTAATCTTTTAAATTACCATTTGGCTTGAATAAGATCAGTTTTACTAAACTGCTGTTATGGTATATCTTGAAAATTAAAAAAAGAGAATTTTTCCATTAATCTGGTAGTGAATCATAAAATGAAAAAATTGTTTAAATGTTGAACTTCTCATTGTTACTTAGGAAAAGAAGTCCTTCAGTGTCCAGAGATCAGAATAGAAGATACGACCAAAGGGAAGAAAGAGAAGAATATTCACAGTATGTTCCCTCAGACAGCACAATGCCAAGATCTCCATCAGATTATGCTGATAGACGATCTCAACATGAACCTCAGTTTTATGAAGAATCTGATCATTTAAATTATAGAGACTCCAACAGGAGAAGTCATAGGCATTCCAAAGAATACATTATAGATGATGAGGATGTGGAGAGCAGAGATGAATATGAAAGACAAAGGAGAGAGGAGGAGTACCAAGCTCGCTACAGGAGTGATCCAAATCTGGCCCGGTATCCAGTAAAGCCACAACCCTATGAAGAACAAATGCGGATTCACGCTGAAGTGTCCCGAGCACGGCATGAAAGAAGGCATAGTGATGTTTCTTTGGCAAATGCTGAACTAGAAGATTCCAGGATTTCTCTATTAAGAGTGGACCGAACATCAAGGCAAAGATCTACATCTGAACGTAGAGCTGCGATGGAAAATCAACGATCTTATTCAATGGAAAGAACTCGAGAGGCTCAGGGACAAAGTTCTTACCCACAAAGGACCACAAATCATAGTCCCCCTACCCCTCGGAGGAGTCCAATACCCATCGATAGACCAGATATGAGACGAACCGACTCACTAAGGAAGCAACATCACTTAGATCCCAGCGCGGCAGTAAGGAAAACGAAACGTGAAAAAATGGAAACGATGTTAAGGAATGATTCTTTGAGTTCAGACCAGTCAGAATCAGTGAGACCTCCACCACCAAAGCCTCATAAATCAAAGAAAGGGGGTAAAATGCGCCAGGTTTCACTGAGCAGTTCAGAGGAGGAATTGGCTTCCACACCTGAGTATACAAGTTGTGATGATGTTGAGATTGAAAGTGAGAGTGTAAGTGAAAAAGGTAAGCTCTCTGCCTCATACTTTTTGCTCTTAAAGCTTTTCTTTTTAAGTTGTCCTTCTGGTAAACCTTCAATAGCTAAATATGTGTATCTCCCTTTAAATTTTTGAATAGTATTGATACAAGGAAAATCTCAGGTGTTGCTCATGTGGAAGAAACTTTACTTAAAAAAAACAACAGCCTTTTTATTTCTGAAAGTTTTCTTGTATCATTCAGTGGCATATTAAAACAATGTTTAGTAGGTCTAGTGTTAAATCTAGCACTTATTTATATGTTTCCAAATAAAAATAAAAATATGTTCACTATAGAAACATTTCTCAAAGTATAAAGTATGAAAATACATTTTATCCATTTTTCTTTTTTCAGATATAGCCATCATTAAAATTTTATATTCTCATCCTTTTTTTCCCATACAATATAGTTTATGTATTTATAAAATTGGATAATTCTGTGTAGAATTTTCTGTTCTAATATTTCCAATTGATACTATACAATAAGCCTTGTTTCAAGCCATTAGGTATTTAGAATTGTGTTTAAATGGCTTCATTAGTGTTCTATCATAAGACGGTACTACATTCTAAATATTTATTTCAGGCATTGTAGTAGTTGCTTCCAATTGCTAATGTAAATAATATGTTATTTTTATATATAATTATTGCCTATTTCTCTGAGTCTTTCAGAAATATATATTTTCTCTTTGTATTCTAAAACTTGAGTTCAGTTTTCCAAATTTGGAAATTTGGAATTCAGATTTCCAAGTTGTTTTCCAAAAATATTATTAATATTCTGTTCTCTCCTATCAGAAGTGATTAAGCTTTTCATTTCAATACATGAAATTCTTGAAAGTTGAATAGGCTACAAAATATGTCCTCTAATTATCAATTTAAGTTAAATTTGATCTTGAGGTTGAATGTTTTATATGCGTATTGACATTTGATGTCTTTTATGAATCATTGGTTAAATTATTTTTTCTATTTTTCTTAATAGATTTGCTCTTATTAATTTTTTAGATTTCTCTATATATTAGGATTTTATGACATATAACTGTTATTTTTCACATTTATTTTCTATTTTCATATTTGATTATTTAGAAATGCAGAATTGAAGACAGCTACATCTTTGCATGTTTGTTGATTTCCCCCATTATTTTTATTCTTATAAACTCCTCTTTCACCTTCAAATCAATGAATGTTTAGCTATTTTTGTTATTTTTACTACTTTTTGACTCTTTAATCTTTATGGAGTCTATTTTGGTTTAAGACAAAATGCACCAGATAGGTGAGTATCTAACCTGAATCCCTTGACCCAACCCTCCTCTTTCTTTGTTCGCCAATTTTATTACAGTATTTGGTACTTAGCCCATTTCTTTTTTTAATAAGCACTGAAAGGAATCTAAAAGGAATTCAGGAAGGCATCTAGATATAAAATATTATAGAGTTAACTTTTATACCATATTGAATAGAATTAGTTAAAAAATAGGAATCAGGATACTCCCTATTTTGAATAAAACAAGAAATATGATTTAAAAAGAAGTATCAAGAGTTCGGCTTGGGGATATGACTCAAATGGTAAAGTACTTTCCTGGTAAGCATAATTTCTTAAGTTTAAACCCAGTTGCTACCAAAAATAAAATAATAGAAGAAAACAAACCAACAATGAAAGTGAAAAGAATAATGGACCTTATAGGAAAACTCATAAACTTTTACTGAGTAATGTAAAAGAAGATGTGATTGGAAGTTCATGTTCCTAATTAGGAAGAATAATTATAAAGATGCATACCACATAATCTCTTCATATTAGCCACAGTCCCATTTCAACACTTAAAATATCTTATTTTCGGGGGCTGGGAAGGTGGCTCAAGTGGTAGAGCGCTAGCCTTGAGCTGAAGAGCTGAGGGACAGCTCCCAGGCCCAGAGCTCAGGCCCTCTACCGGAACCCCCCTCCAAAAAAATCTTATTTTCTGAAGTTAATATAGAAGGAAAAAATACTGGTAAGAATAGCTAAGAGGAGAGAGAGAAAATTCATTTCCCCAGGTATTAATAAAATTCTTATTTGCATATTTATTATATGTGGTTTTGACAAAGCACATTCAACAGGAATAAGAAATAAGAGGAAAAGAAATTTGGAAACAATGAATTGATGCTCATAAATGTTTATGTGTGGGAAAGCATGAAACTGTAAAATGAGCTGGAGGAGTAGTTGTGGTAGAGGTCTGCCTGTCCAGCACAACGTCCTAACTTTAAACCCTCATATGGCCATAAAACAAAAACAAAATTTAAATTTTCTTGCATTATACAGTTCAGTTGATGTGGAGAAGCTCTCAGTCCAGTGTTGTTGTCAGTTGTATTTAAATAATTGTATCATGTACTGAGCATTTATTTAATTTTGTGAAAATACAGTATGTCTTCCAAAAAAGCAAATGATGCCCCAATAGCAAAGAAAAGGTAAGATGCATAGTTTCAGTGACAAAGTTATAATTTTAGCTTTGTTAAAAAGCGGAATGTGGTTTGGGAAGGTAGCTCAGTGGTAGAGTGCTTGCCTTGCATGCATGAGGCCCTGGGTTTGATTCCTTAGTACCACATAAGCAGAAAAAGCCTGAAGTGGTGCTGTGGCTCAAGTGGTAGATCACCAGCCTTGAGCTGAAGAGCTGAAGGACAGTGCCCAGGCCCACAATTCAGGTCCCATGACCAACAACAACAACAACAAAAGCAAGCACAATACATTTAATGAAAGTTGGATAGCTTTTAATGGGGAAAATGAGCCAAGCATCTGCAGTACAGCACTGAACTCTGTATTATGGGTGTCACAGATTTTCCTTAGTGGTGGTCTCTATAGACCCATATACTTGTGATTATACTTAGGTTCTACTGTACTGAAAATATATGATTGAAAAATTGACAGATCAATGGTATTTTAATAATTTATAGTAAAATGAATATATAAGCTTGGTACCCATGCCTCATGCCTGGCATCCTAGCCACTCAGGAAGATGAGATATGTGGTTTGAAGCCAACCCTGTCAGGAAAGTCCATGTGACTCTTAACTCCAGTTAACCAGCCAAAAGCTGTAAGTGGAGCTGTGGCTAGGTAAGGAATAGCCCTGAGTTCAAGCACAAGGACCAGCAAGGAAACAAAACAAAACAGACTCCAAAGAATGTGTTTTACAACTCAAACACCTTCTTCATTGTTTTAGCTTTCTCTTCCATTTCCTTTCTTATGTATAAGCTTTCACAAATGTGTTAGGTAAATTTGGATGAAGTAATATAATTTAAAACTTTTAGCTAACCCTAACTAGATTTCAGGAGGCAGTATTATCATAGCAAAATAATTGTTTTCAACCCCTGTTATATCACAGCTTCTACCAGTAAAGGAGACTTTCTTGATCTATTAGCAATAAAATTTTATATTTTGCTCAACTTAGATTTTTTTCTCTGCTCTTTTTTGGTTATTTTGATTTTTCTTATCTTAAGCTATCTTGGAAAATTGATAACTTTGACTTTTCTTATTCACATATCACTTAGGATGGATGTTATTATTTTAAATGTAAAGAATTTCACTCATATTTAAAATCTGTCTTCTCACTCACTACATATCCTGATAAATGATTGTGGATTATGTCTATGAATGACTTTTCATTATTTTTGCAAGAGTGACAGGGAGGTTTAATAGAAAGAGTATATGTTTTGGAGTCTAAGAGATCAAATCTTGGATGTGTTTTTCACTAAGTACATGACTTTGTCTCACATTTTTAACCACTCTAAGTCTGTTTCTAAACCTATGAATCTGTTAATCAGAATAATAGCATTTAGGGTCAAATGAACTCTTCCTTCCTTCCCTCCCTCCTTCCTTCCTTTTTTTCTTCTCTCTCTCATATATATATATATATATATATATATATATATATATATATATATATATATACATATATATATATGCGTGTGTAATATATACACATATATAATTATGATATCTAATGTGTGCATAGATGCATATGTAAACATATGATAATTATCAAAAAGCATAGATTACTTATGTAGTGTTTGTATTTTTATAAACTTTCAGCTATACTCTTGGCTTTATGATCTCATTTATGAATAATCTAGTGCAAGATTTTTAACCTCAACACTAGATAACTATGTATTTTTTCTTATTTTTAAAATTGTTATTTTAAAGGTGATGTACAGAGGGATTACAGTTACTTAAGTCAGGTAATGAGTACATTTCTTTTTGAACAGTGTCACCTCTTACCTCATTTTCTCCCAGGGTTTTTCCTTGATAGCTTTGCGTTTTAACTGTCTTGTGCATTTCAAGATGATTGACAGCATTCCTGGCCTCTACCTGCTAGATACAAGTGTTATCCACTTCCAATTATGATATCCAAAAGTAACAATCAGTATTTCCAATTAATGACTTCCTACCCTTCTCATTTTCAAAAAGACGCATTAGAAGAAAAATCTAGAGTGGAATAGCTAGAAACTATTACAGAAGTACACAGAGTAGTGATTGTTCTATAAAGGTTTTCTTTCTTTTTTTCTTACGTGTGTGTGTGTGTACTGTATGTTCTGAAAATATAAAATATGCAATTACTCTTCAGTATTCTCAGGGGATTAGTTAGGAGACTCTCATCTGACACCAAATCTATGACTGCTCAAGTTCTAGGCATAAAATGGAGTAGTATTTGCATATAACTTGTACACATCTTCCTCTAAGATTTTAATCATCTCTTGATTATAACTGATACCTACTACAAGGTCAATGCTGTATATGTAGCTTTTACACTGTAGTAGTTAGTGGATAATGATGGGGAAAATGTCTGTGTATGTTCACTGCAGGCTCAATTAAATTTGTTTTTTTCAGTCTACTGTTTTTTGAGTCTGTGGTGAACCTGCAGATATAGAAGACTGTCTTAAGTTTCATACTGTGAATCATAATCAAAGCTGTTTTGAAACTACTACTTTTCAATTTTTTTGAATCACTTGATGCTCATGTTTCCTACATCCCTCC